CAATTATTAATAAACGCATTTATATTTTGTAGAAAAAGTCACAAAGTTCTAAGAAATTGTGTCATTATATACATAATTGTTTTTCTAATTGAAATTAAAAAGCATTCAAAATGACTTCCTTGGGCAATCCAGTGTTAAGAAGTTAATTAAAACAAGTATCAAGCATCGTATAACATTATCATCCTAATGATAGATCCAAACGAAATGAGACGTCCGCGTTGTAAAATTTCATATCCGTCCGTTTATACGGGCCATTTGCTTTCGATCAATCGTGTTTATTGTAGCAGACGATTTCATCCCCTTTTCCATCTCTCGCGTCATAAACTCCTCGCCATGATTTCCCTGCCCGCGAAGGATCCTCGAGTTCGGCATTGTCTACCCCCATATATCACCTCCGTATCCCAGCCCCAATTTCCTCGTCTACTCTGGTCTAGGAGTATCGAAAAAGGAAGGGTGAGATTTTCACAGGGACACTTTCATCCCCCATACCGTACCGGCAAACACACACGACAGATACTTAAGCAACCAGAAGATTTCAGCAAGATGGATATAAAGTGATTGGCCATATGAGTCATAGCCACCAATTGTCCGCGCCATTGGATCCGTTAGCCATTTTCACTGTGTGAGAATCGATAGCATTGGCGTAGGACAGACGATGAAAAATTTCACCAAGGATATATCCAGTGGCTCCCGGTTACATGCAAGTAGGAAAATTATTTCCATTGGCGTAGCAAGGTTATATCTGTATATGGGTAGCTCCGTGTTATCTACTATCAGAATCTCGCGGATACACGTGAACTGGTAAATTACACGGCTGATATATAATGCCATGGACCAGCCAGTGGATTCTCCGTGAATGTGAGCATAGCCGGGAAGGCAACTCGGGTAAAGTTATTGCTGGCGTCACGGGACGGCGAATTATTGGTACGGGCCCCTGAGCAAAGGCATCCAGCTACTCGCCTGGGCTAAGTTACAGGGCCCCCCGTTAGGATCTTATTAGATTCTAAGTTATACGTCGGCCAACGTAATCACGTGTGAGGGCTGAAACGTGGCCTCCGGGATATAATTGCAGGCTGGGATAATTTAAAGTATTTTATTGAATAAGAAAATTTTTAGCGACGAATTGTAATTTTGGTAAAAAAAATTTTTTATTCAAAAAAATTCTCAGGCATACTTGTCCACGCCTATGGGTACCGATACGAGTTGATTTTCTCCCTTTATCGGACTCCATTATGACGTATACCGTTTGATTAAGCTACCACGTACCACTGGAGCTCGTGGACCCATTGCAATTTGTTTTATTAGACGCGGGGAGAACCGTCGAACGGTAAATAAGGTACACATGGGTCGTAGGGGAACCCTTCGCTAATGTCGCGTTCATTGCACCCCGTTTGCTACGGCACTGGTAACGAGATTGAAGAAAATCTTGGAAAACTTTTACTTGCTTCTCGTACTTCCCTTTCTCGGCAAGACCGAACGCTGGAGCACTTGGTCACGTGGTGAAACTTTGGGAAGTTCAGCCGAGCGTGAAAAATCATCGGAATTGACAGATTCGTGACGTCATCTTAAGTACGTATTTGATATTTTTTTTTTTCCGATTTTATTATCAGCTTCTGATTTTTTTCAAAGTACTTTGTCGTGTACGATTCTCTTTTTTTTTTGTATTATTCTTTATATTTCTTTCATCCCGTGTTATCGTTGCTTTTACGAATTATGAGATAAACTGCTTGCCGGAATCTTCAAACTTTCTCACTGGCTTTACGAAAAGTACGAAATTTAACGGTGAATTTCATTCGGCGAAACGCGTTATTTCTGTTTTTTGCTGTCGCAGGATTTGCAAGTGCACCGCTTGCGCCCGTTTAACTCGCTGCATAAGGAGATTAGAGAGGGAATAAGCCACTTTGATAAGGGATCGCCTGAAGCGTTTATTATACGACGTCTAGCAGTCGAGTTTGCGCTTAGCTTTAATAAAGACGTCGTCCCGACGCCAAGACAATTTATCGAAAGGCTACCGGCTGATTAATGAAGCTTTTCGTATTTACCGTACAGTGCTACTAATTACGTGTTTTCAAGCTGACGTCATTAGCTACAGTCAATGCGTGACCTGTTAAAAAAAAAATCTCCATACAATTATCCACATAGTCAAGTGAAATATACTTACTGTAAAAAAAAAAAACATATAGCATTTCAATAAATTCTCTAAAAATATAGTCTTCCTCCTTGTCGAGTGACGTAATTTCATTATGAATAATAAAAAAATATTAATTATCATAAATAATTATTTTGTCGAATAACA